GATCCACATCAAGGAGCCAATTGCAATAGGGTGGCAAGAAAGAGCTTTGATAGAGAGCCATAAATGTGCTGGGCCCTTGGCCATAGTGTAAGAGAGCTGAGTAATTTGAGATGCCTGTAGGTTCGGGAGGCCAAGGCCACCTCTAGGTTTTGAAGCATATAATGCTGATCTATTCATTTGCGGTCGCCAGTTGTCTCATAGAAACTGAAACACTTCAGTCTGCAATTGCAATAATTCTCCCCTCGGGACTGCAGAGTTTGGAAATAATAAAGAATCTTTGATAAGAGTCATTTTTATATAATGAATTCTACCAAACCAAGATAAGGAATAATTCGTCCAACGTTGAAGATCTTCACAAAGACGAAATGATGCAGCAATGAAATTAAATTTGGCAGGGCAACTGGAGGATTAGAAATGTACATAAGCACATGATCAGCAAAGAAAGCGCATTTGTGTTCTTGGTGACTACTTTTAAAGCTGTGTATACCAGAATGGGAACAACAAATTGCTATCACCATATGCTCGATTGCCAATGCAAACAGCAAAGGAGAGAGTGGACAGCCCTGTCTCATACCACGCCAAATAGGGAACGCTGACAACTTATAGCCTCATAAAGGGATCTGAGTAGAAGGGGAGCTGTATAGGGTTTTCAATAAAGAGATATTTGAGGGACCAAATCCAAAGGCTTCTATTGTGGAAAACAGGTAATCCCAGGTTAGGCTATCAAAAGCCTTGTGGAGATCTAATGAAAGAAGCAATAGTTCTCTGGAAGAGGAATTATCCCAATTAGAACCTACTGCTGAAACTAAAGCTATGGAATGATGGATTTGGTCTAGCGTCTGCCGTCCTCGGATAAAACCAGATTGGTCCTTGTGAATATAATGTTCCAAAAAGGTATTAAAATGTTACTAAACCCACAACAGTAAAATCAGTCTGTATATGCAGTAAAGCATACTTGTTATACTCACTGAGGAACCTAAGGGGTTAATCCTCTGCATTATGTAAAGTGATGATCCTTTCATCTCTGCCCCTCCTCTTGTTGAAATGACCACCTGATACAGACTGAATCCATGGCTTTTTTTTTTCTTTGTAGAGTGCATGCGATTAGCACAGGGCCAATCAGCACTGTCCAGACAGAGGGTCAGGGGGTTTCACATCCTCCTAGAGCAGAAAGGAAACTCCTCCTACAAGCTTTAACCAGTGCTCTGCTGAAGTCACAAGACTGCTCTAACTGCTGATGAGAAAAGGTATTTACTAAAATAATTGCATTTCCATGTTCTGTGTACTGTGGGAGACCAGATATAGTAAAAGCAGGGTTCTGGGTTTAGTAACACTTTAAGATGCATGGCTAAAAGTTTAGTAAGAATTTTCAAGTCGCAATTAATTAGTAGCGAGATGGGGCGATACTTATGAACGTCAGTAGCATCTTTGTTCGGTTTTGGGAAAACTCTTTTTTATGCTCTATTTTCATCAACAGGGATCATGCTTCTACCCGGCAAGTAGTTAAAATATAAAGACATATGCAGAATAAGCGTTTTGGAAATGTTTTATAATAGCTATTGTGTAGACCATCAGGGCCAGGCGATTTATGTGGAGCAAGTGTCCAAATAACCTTCTAAATTTCCTCACAAGTGATATGTTGGTCCATAAGATCTTTATGGGTTTACTTAAGAAATGAAGAGGTACAGACGTCAAGAAGTTATGAGAGACCTCTCAACAGATCCCCTTGAGGTGAGTTGTATAATGTGGTATAAAAAGTGTGAAATTCTTTAAGAATTTTATGGGGGTCCTGAGAAAGGGAACCCCCTGTTAGTTTAATCTTTTGAAAGAGCCGAATGAGACTAGTGAGGGGTATGTTTATGTGCTAGCAGGGAACCAGGCGTCTCTCCACGTAAAAAATGTATAGTTCATCTGGCATAATTGTTTCTCTGCTTTTGTGGTCTCCACTGTGGAGTCTGTTCCAGTTTAGTAAGTAGAGCAGGGTGAGGAAAACGTTTGTGTTGGGCAACCAGCTCTTTATATTCTTTAGATTTAGAAGAAATCAATTCCTCCCTGGCTTTCTTAAGTCTGGACGAAAACTGAATTAGGAAACCTCTTAGGGAAGCTTTATGTGCTGCCCACTTTATGGGCCGGAGCAGTATCTTTAGCTTTGTTGGTGTCAAAATAAGATTTCAGGTGAGTGATGACATCTAAACAGTAAGATTTGTCACCTAGCAAAGACTCGTTCAGTCTCCAATGTGATTTAGCCCATCTAGCTGTATTAGAAAGCGTCACCATAATTGGATAGTGATCAGACCAAGGTGTCGAAATTATTTTGGCCGAGAGCAATTTAGGTAAGAATCCCGAAGGGAGAAGAAAAACATGGTCAATACGAGAATATTGGTTGTGGGCCCTAGAAAAATGGGAATAGCTAGGAGGTAGGGTTTTGACTCCACCTAGGCTTCAACCAAATTATAATGATGCAGTAATTGTGCAAATTTATGGCTTCTTTAGTAGGGGATTTTAGCAATATATGACTTATCCAAGATGTGGTCTAGAGCCAGATTTGGATCTCCAACTAAAATCACATCACCTTCAAATTCAGGGGTCAAGGATCACAGTAGACAATGAAAAAAGGCTACCTGATTTGTATTGGGGGCATAATATACCAGAAAAGTCACCAAATTATCTCCCAAGCGCCCCTTAATGAAAAGATACCATCCCTCTTTGTCCCTGATTACTTTAGTGTCGGAGGAGAACCATTGGGAAAACATAATGCCACTCCCCTCTTTTTCTCTGAAGCATTTTTTTTTTTTAGATTAGATTCAACTTTATGTGTCATTGTGCAAAGTACATGTACAGAGCCAATGAAATGCAGTAAGCATCCAGCCAGAAGTGCATAAATGGCCCATTTACAATTAATAACAATAAAACAAAAATAGGGGTATGGAATATACAATACCATAATCGGTGCAATGAGTAGTGCATTAATGGATGAAATATGCAGTAATGCAATGTTGAATAAAATATGCAATATAGTCTAATGATTAGCTGTTCAATGCATTGACAAAGAAACAAGTAGGGTAATACTAACAAATATAACAAGGGGCAAAGGGAAGGGGCGAAGTGAGTCTCCTGAACGGGCAACAACATCTGCACCCATAGCCCTGTAACGAGTAAATATTTGCATGAGAGTTTGGTAGGGGACCCCAGGCCTTGAAAATTGTGTGACAGCAGCCATATTGTACCATTTCGTAAAGCTAAGGGAGACATGGTGAATGACAAAGATAGTTATAGACAAACCAACTCACCCCACCATTTTGACAGGACAGAGAACCTGGAGAGCCAGCAATGTACCTTAATAAACTCCAGAAAGAAAGAAACAGAAAAAGTTAGGAAGAGGGAATGAAATAGATTTTTTTATCAAAAGGGTACCAGAATAGAAAAAAAACATTCAGAATCCAAAATGATAACATTACACTTTGCCTAATGTAAAAGGAATAGCAGGTCACCAAAAAAAGAGTGACCTAATGGCCCAGAATCCAGTTCTGGGATAGAAGTAGTCTTCTCAAAGACTAAACCTTGGGAAGAGTCCTTCAAAATTAGAGAGTGCATAGCCAACACCCAGCACTAAGCCTTTATAATAAAAACAAACAAGGCTGTCAGGAATGGACTTGCCAGTAATGGTGGGACTCACCTGCCTTGTGGGCTGCAGTACCAGGGCTGGCCAGCGGGTGCTCTCAGCAATCAGAGACTCAACCCTGCAGTCAGCCAAACACCTGAAGCTGATTACGGAGGTGTATTTAAGGGATGACCAGACCTGCAGTGCAGTCTGTGCCTTGGTGTGTGTTTTTCTATGGGCCCCTGTATCTTGTTACCTGCGTTCCTGTTCCTGTTCCTGCCTGATTGACTCGTTGCCGACCCTGCCTGATCCTGACCTCTGCTGACTTCTCCTGTTTTGATCCCTGGCTTGTGACCCTGACTATTCTCTCCGCCTGCTCCTCCTGTACCTACCTGCTCGATAGTTATTGACCCGGCCTGCCTGATTACGTTGTGCTCTATATGTGTATGTACCTGTGTATCTGTATCAGTTTAGGTTTGGGTTTGTTTCACTTGTTGTATGTATTTGTGTTAGCTTGGGTTTGGTGCACTGCGGTTTATGTTTGTATTGTTAATCTTTAATAAATTGTCTTATTTATACCATATCTGAAGCTTGCGTTTCCGTGTGTCAGTCCACACACTTCTGGTCATACCCGGAGCCCTGACATTACACCAAGCCAATCCTGACCAGAAGTGGCTGCATAGGGAAGCCATCTTGGCTTGTTGCTGGGAAGGTTGGATCTTGATGAGGTTGTGTATTTGTCGCTGCTGGTTTTTGATGACAGAGAATATGCTTATCAGACTGTGACGGAGTATACCCGGGATCAACTGCTAGAATGTATATGGATCGCTCATGTTCTAGTAGATCAGGGCACAGAGTTCTCTGAGGTGCAACCTTTGATTCAGGTTTGTGTAGAGTTGGCTTCAACTGGTACCCCTGAAAGCAGGAATGACTTTTTGCCACCATTTAGTGCAGACAAGGTAGAGTCCCTGGTATGGTTATTAGAGGATGATGTGGATTGCTTCTTGGAGCATTATGCTGCATGTTCACCACAGGTATTAAGGGATTGTATAAACGCAGTGCAGTCTTTGACCAGACAGGCTTGTGTAAGCTCAGCTTTGTTCAACCCATACTGCAGACATGGTCAGACTTGTTGCACCCAGCCTCAGTCAGCTTGCAACGTCATTCCTCCCCTCAAGGCACTCTTCCTACATCCCCGACAGCACCCCCAGTGACGGCCCAGTATACTCTGCTAACTACCACATACCAGTCCTCTGCTCCCACTCGCTGCACCTATCCTTTCTTTAACCCTGTAAAGAAGTCCTCTGTAGTAACTGCTCCCTCCTCTGTTCCATCTTCCAGCTCTTCTCTGTCCTCAGCTGCTCCATTCGTTTGCAGATCTGGGTTTACTTGCAGTGCTCCAGTAGTTTAAAACCAGAAAAAAGCGAAACTTCTTTCCAACCAGTACCATCCTGCCAGTATCCAAACCGGTGAACCTGCCTTCCGTGGTTCAGCCTGGTGCCTCGGCACCCGCACTTCAGCCTGATGTCTCTACCCAGCCTGATGTCTGTTATACCCAGCCTGATGAACTGATCCAGCCTGATGATCCTATCACGCCTGATGACCCAGTGCCCGCTGTCATACCTGGTGACCCGATGCCCGCTGCGAGCCAGACGATCCGGTACCTGATGACCCGGTGCCCGCTGTCATACCTGGTGACCCGATGCCCGCTGTCGAGCCAGACGATCCAATGCCTGATGACCCAGTGCCCGCTGTCATGCCTGGTGACCCGATGCCCGCTGTCGAGCCAGACGAACCAATGCCTGATGGCCCAGTGCCCGCTGTCGTGCTTGGTGGCCCGGTGCCCGCTGTCGACCAGACGATCCAATGCCTGATGACCCGGTGCCCGCTGTCGATCCAGACGATCCGTACCTGATGACCCAGTGCCCGCTGTAATGCCTGGTGACCCGATGCCCGCTTCGAGCCAGACGATCCAATACCTGATGACCCAGTGCCCGCTGTCATGCCTGGTGACCTGATGCCCGCTGTCGAGCCAGACGATCCAATGCCAGATGACCCGGTGCCCGCTGTCGATCCAGACGATCCGGTACCTAATGACCCGGTGCCCGCTGTCATGCCTGGTGACCCAATGCCCGCTGTCGAGCCAGACGATCCAATGCCTGATGGCCCAGTGCCCGCTGTTGTGCCTGGTGGCCAGGTGCCCGCTGTCGAGCCAGACGATCCAATGCCTGATGACCCGGTGCCCGCTGTCGATCCAGACGATCCGGTACCTGATGACCCGGTGCCCGCTGTCATGCCTGGTGACCCGATGCCCGCTGTCGAGCCAGACGATCCAATGCCTGATGACCCAGTGCCCGCTGTCCATGCCTGTGTGACCCGATGCCCGCTGTCGAGCCAGACGATCCAGCGCCAGATGACCCAGTTGCCTGCTGTCGAGCCAAATGACCTGATGCCTGGTGACCCGATGCCCGCTGTCGAGCCAGATGATCCAATGTCTGACCCAGTGCCCGCGGTCATGCCAGTTGACTCGGAACCCACTGTCGTGCCTGGTGACTCGGTGCCCACTGCCTTGCCAGATGACGCTGTGCCCTGCTGGTGAGCCAAATGACCTGATGCCTGGTGACCCGATGCCCGCTGTCGTGCCTGATGACCCGGTGCCCACCGCTCCGCCTGGGGGCCCGGCGCCCGGCCGCCGCTCCGCCAGGGGGGCCCGGCGCCCGCCCGCTCCGCCTGGGGGCCCGATGCCCGCCGCTGCTCCTGGGGGCCCGGTGCCCGCCGCTCCTCCTGGGGCCCCAGTGCCTGCCGCTCCTCCTGGGGCCCGGGGCGCCTGCTGCCCCGCCTGGGGGCCCGCCGCTCTGCCTGGGGGCCCAGCAACCCACCGCTCCTCCTGGGGGCCCTGTGCCTGCTGCTCCTCCTGGGGGCCCGCGCCTGCTGCCCCCCGTCCCTGGGGGCCCGCCGCTCTGCCTGGGGGCCCAGCACCCACCGCTCCTCCTGGGGGCCCGGCGCCCGCCGCTCCTCCTGGGGGGCCCGGCGCCCGCCGCTCCTCCTGGGGGCCCTGCGCCTGCCGCTCCTCCTGGGGCCCTGCGCCTGCCCGCTCCTCCTGGGGGCCCTCTGCCTGCCGCTCCTCCTGGGGGGCCCTGCACCTGCCACTCCTCCTGGGGGCCCTGTGCCGGCCGCTCCTCCTGGAGGCCCTGTGCCTGCCGCTCCGCCTGGGGGCCCAGCGCCCGCCGCTCCGCCGGGGGGCCCGGTGCCTGCCGCCCCTCCTGGGGGCCCAGTATGCCTGCCGCCCCTCCTGGGGGCCCGGTGCCTGCTGCTCCGCCTGGGGGCCCGGTGCCTGCCACCTCACCGCCTGGGGGCCCTGTGCCTGCCGCTCCGCCCTGGGATCCGGTGTCCAGCCCGATGTGCCTCTGCCCGTGTCCAGCTCGATGTGCCTCTGCCCGGAGTCCAGCCCGAAGTGCCTCTGCCCGGAGTCCAGCCCGATGTGCCTCTGCCCGGAGTCCAGCCCGATGTGCCTCTGCCAGGAGTCCAGCCCGATGTGCCAGTCTTTGATATCCCGCCAGTTACCAGACCCGGGCTGGTGGAACATTTTGCCCCAGCTAGGACTGTTTGGAGACGTCCTGAGGCGCTCCTTGAGGGGGGGGGGTACTGGTCAGGAATGGACTTGCCAGTAATGGTGGGACTCACCTGCCTGTGTGGGCTGCAGTACCAGGGCTGGCCAGCGGGGTGCTCTCAGCAATCAGAGACTCAACCCTGCAGTCAGCCAAACACCTGAAGCTGATTACGGAGGTGTATTTAAGGGATGGCCAGACCTGCAGTCTGTGCCTTGGTGTGTGTTTTTCTATGGGCCCCTGTATCTTGTTACCTGCATTCCTGTTCCTGTTCCTGCCTGATTGACTCGTTGCCGACCCAGCCTGATCCTGAACCTCTGCTGACTTCTCCTGTTTTGATCCCTGGCTTGTGACCTTGACCATTCTCTCTCCGCCCTGCTTCCTCCTGTACCTACCTGCCCGATAGTTATCGACCCGGCCTGCCTGATTACATTGTGCTCTATATGTGTATGGTACCTGTGTATCTGTATCAGTTTTGGTTTGGGTTTGTTTCACTTTGTTGTATGTATTGTTGTGTTAGCTTGGGGTTTGGTGCACTGCGTTTAATGTTTGTATTGTTAATCTTTAATAAATTGTCTTATTTATAACCATATCTGAAGCTTGCGTTTCCCTGTGTCAGTCCACACACTTCTGGTCATACCCGAGCCCTGACAAAGGCACTTGAGCCCCTTTTTAGAGGGCAATTGAAAATAAAAGTATACAGAACAAACAGTCACACTGCATATAAACAAGAAAACAGCTGTAGATCAAAACCAGATAATAAAGAAGGGCACATGTTAGGTAACTTCAACAGAATTGAAGTAGTGACTAATGTCCAGCCAACCAGGAAAACCATCTGAGAAGCCACCACAAAACAAATTCAACAAATTCAACATCAAGGTGGAAGATGCGGTCAAGTGATTAGAGATGCAAGATTTTGTCTTCTTTGGTGGTGAGATAGACCGAGAGGAGAAAGAGGAGGAGGAGGTCCACTGGAGCGAGACTGATTCCTGGAGGAAGGACTATAAGATATAAAGTGCAATTGAAGCAGAATTTTTCTCCATCAGAGAACGTGGAAAAGAGTAAGGCTTGCCATTAAAGGTAAATTTTTTCCATCTATAATGTATATCTCGTCGAACTAAACGTTGCAAGCAATGGCCTAAAGTCTCCACTTCTGGATGGCAGCTAGGGAAAAGTCTGCAAAGATTTGAATATTATGGCCTCAACCTCCAAGTCAGGATGTACCCTGGTATAGGCATGAGCGCTTCTTTAATCGTGAAGAAGTGGGGCTTAACAATCACTTCTCTGGGGAGGGCCTCTGGTTTCAGGGAACCAAAAGCTCTGTGGAATGCAAACAATCTCCATGTGAAATTCATCAGATACAGATGATTTGCATAAGAGTATTGTTGATACAGGGTGAGGTCTTTCACTGTTTCAGGCAACCCCCTGATCCTGAAGTTGTAACGTTGGGCACGATTTTTAAGATCTTCAAAATTGGCCCAAGCCTCTTCCAAGCTATCCTGTAGGTTGGTAATCATAATTAGAATTCATGAGTAACTCTATGGACTGTCTCATCTATCTTGGAATCAATATTATCCAAGCGGTGACTCACAACTTCAAAATCTTGTTTTTAAAACCTTAGCCAATTTATTTGTGGTTTTGTACAGCTCCCTCTACAGAGATCAGCAAAGTGAGCAATTAACACTGAATCTCCAGAATATTGTGGTGGAGCTGATGGGGAGGCAAGGGAGCCCTCTGGGCTAACAGGGTCAGAAGCCAGGGTGCTGTTCTGGGAAGATGTCAGCCATCTCTCTGTCCCACTGTTGAGGAAGCATGGGACTCGTAAGCCTGGGGTAACAGGCTGGGCATTTGTTGGGGAGAAGGGGCAGGGGAGGGCTAAAGCTGGGAGCCAAGCAGGGTTTGCTTGGCTCGCGCCTGAAGAGGATGAAGTTCTAGTGGATAGACATCATGGGGTCTATTATACCCCAACACGTCTTGCCCTGCCCTCTGCGTCAGCCCAGCCAATCATAAAGGACCAATTGTGTGTGATGATCGGGCTGATTAACCAGGTTTCCAGCTGGAATTTTGACAGCTGTTGAAACCCTAAGTGCCTGCAGAACCTGATGACTTTTTTTGGCGCACACATTGCAGAGGAAATTGAGGAAACAAATGTTACAACAAGATCTTCCCTGTTCTCCATCCTGAGAGTGTTTGTTTTGGTCCTTGGGCTCCCAGGAGAAGCTTGGATAGAAAGTCCAGGAGCCACCATGGATTAGAATAGCCAATAAGGAAGGCCAGGCACCATGCTAGTAGTTTTTTATTTGGATTGTATTATAAAACTTATTGTAACGGTTAGTATTTTATAGCATTGTTTTGGGCATAAATTTTTTTTAAAAGGGGTCATTCCCACTGGTGCTAGCCCTGTGCCCGATGCGAGTTTTTTCTTTTTCTTGTTTACTCTCTAAGCTGTGTGCAGGGGCATCCCAAAGAAAAAAGAAAGGGTACACTTGGCTACAATTGCGAAAAAAGTATTGAAATGATGGGAGGTTTCTGAGAGCTCTTTTCTGGAGGCATGGTTAAACAAAACGGCTTCTGAACCAGTAAACCCAAAACAGGTGTGTGTTTTTTAAGGGCAGGACAGCTTAGCAACAATCTAATATCATCCAAGATTGGGGTCAAGGTTTGGGTCACTCCTGGCTCCAATTTTGCTCGGGAAAGTCTTAAGTAGGGCCTCACATACTTTTTCCTCCTGCACTGGGGACTGTTTACTGTTATGTGCAATTAAACCATGGAAAACTAATGTTTTTTGTTTTTATTATGTTAGCAGATGTGTTTTTTTTTTTTGTGACTTAGGACGTTCAGAGCCATT